AGTATTAATAGTTTTCTATGCAAACAATATAAATCAAATTTTCAATGTTAATTTGATTATCATTCAATACATGCAATGAAGAATTTATAATTTTGACTATAAAATATACAAAATTTTGAAAAAATGAATTTCAAAAAAAAAAAAAAAAAAATGTTGCAAATACATTTTTAACTAACTTTTAGTAGAACAAAATTTTATGAATAGTTGAAATTTTAGTCATTTTTTTAATTCATTTTAAAATTTAAATCATTTATTAGCTTTTTTTTTAGATTTAACTTCAGAAAATAATCGTATATTTCTGAAAGTATAGAAGAAAAAAAAAAAAAAAACAAAAAATATATGGATAAGATGGTTTTGTTGTTAAAACTTTCCAAGAAATAATACGGGTAGTAAAATTTAAAAGTATTATAAAATATCGGGTAGTAAAATTTAAAACTATTATAAAATAAAATGAAAAAAAAATTGAATTGAAAAAAGTGAAACACAATAAAACAATAAAAAAATTATTTGTTTTTAATTTTTATTAAATAAAATTTTCGATTACTTTTTTCAAAATTATTTTGAATAAAATGGCCATTTTAAAACAAAGTTAGAATATATATATATATTTTTTTTTTGTTTGACTTTTCCCATAAACTTTAAAAAAATTTTTTTTAACAAATAATTTTATTGTGAATGATAGCATATTTACACTATGAAACTGATAGTTAAACAAAATTTTATTTACTTCAAAAAGTAAAATTTCAACTAAGAAAAAAGTGCATAAAAAAATTAGTAAATCGTAATTTCATCACTTATTTCTTTTATTTATAAAAGAGAAATGAACTTTTAGAAAATGTATTAAAATAAAATTTTTTATGACTTTCTATAAAAATATTATTTGTAATAAAAAAAAACAAAAAAAAGGGTATAAAAATTATAAAAATAATGGACGGATATAAATATTTTTATTACTTTGTCATAATAATAAAAAAAAAAATTATTAAGAAACTAATTAATTTATATCTTAAAAGAAAAGACATAACAATAAAAATAATAATTCAAGCAATTTTCATTTAAAATATAAAAATGATAATCAATATTAATAATAATAAACAAAATGCTTGATAATATTTAAAAATCAAAAAAAAAAAAAAATTGTGTCAAATATTTTATTTACTTAGAATTATGCAATATTTGAAATGTAAGTTAAATTTTTACATTATTATATAAAATTACATTCAACAAAAAAAAATGTAAATTTAAATTAAATTGATAGAATAATTAAAACTCTTATTTTAAATAATTTTTAAAAAATTTCTAAAATAAATTCTTTTTTAATATAGCTAATTACTTTTTGTTATTAATTTATTCAGTTATTTTCATTTTTTTTTTCGCTGCATTCTTATTTAATTTTATTATATTATTTATTATTCCATTAAAAAATTTTAAATTATTTAAAAAAAAATGTTTTCTTCTTAATACTTAATTTTTTCTTAAAAAAAAAAAGAAATCAAAGATTCTTTTCTAAATTTTTATTCATTTTAATAGAATAAAATAAATAAATTGGATGAGAAGATAATTAATTGTTTCTAAGAGATAAAAGAAATTAATGTAAAAAAATTAATTATAATAAAATAATATGTTTGTTTTATTAATAGTTAATGTAATTTATAAATATTACATTTAAATTAGAAAGAAGAAAAAGTTACTTTATATTTTAGTTTTTTCCACACAAAAAAAAATTAATTTCAAAATTATTTTGTCTAATTTTACTTAAAAAAATTTCTTTATTTAATTTTTAATTCAAAAAAAAAGAGAAAAAAAAAGATAAGAAAATCATTTGTTTGTCATTTTGATCTATAATTTCGGTCATACATTTCATTCAATCCAAGGACACACTTCAATTCGTTTGAAATTAAATTATTGTAATTTAAATTTGAAAACTGCAAAAAATTAGCACTTATTTTTCTTTGAAAAAGTTAAAGAAAAAAAAAATAAATAAACAAATGCTAATTTTTATGTTCCAATTTTAATTAACAATAATTTCACTTCATATACTGATGAAAAAAAAAAAAAGGATAATGAATAAACTTTGAAAATTAAAAAAAAAAGAAAAGAAAGTGAAATAATATAATTGCTTGCATATTCTAACAAAAATGATCACTACAGTAGGAAAAGAGAAAAATAAGGAAAGATAACATTATTAATGGAACAAAATTAATTAGCGTTAATTTTAATTAATGCTAATTAATTAATCAAATTTAACATTTAATCATAGAAATTTAAATAAAAAATAAAAATAAATATTATCATTGCAATTTGCAAAAAAATAAATAAATAAAAAAATTATTCGCGGAAAAAAATTATTAGTTTTAATTAATTAAATAAATAAATTTCACATTTAATTATATTATAAAATAAATTTTACCTCACGTTTAGCGCAAATGTACCATTGAATTGCATGATTATTAGGCGTATTCATCATAACATTTATTCATTCATTCATCCATTCATCCATTCATTCAATTCAATTCATTCAATTCAATTCAATCCATTCAATTCAATTCAATTCAATTTACTACAATTAACATATGCTTATTTTTCATAATTAAATTGAAATGAAAGAGGAGAAATTTTTCGTCATTTTATTAATAAAAATGTTAAAACTTGTATTAAATGAATGAAGACGAATAAATTTTAAACTTGTTTTAAAAAAGGTAAATAGAAATGCTAGAAGAAGTGTTATGATAATTATACCATATATATATTTATATATTAAATATTATACAGGTATAAATATATATATATATATGCCAGGTAAAAATAAATGACAATGAGAATGAGAATGAGAAATAAACCTGATTGAAAGATTTAAATATGTATATATGATAAATAAACCTGATTTAAGTGATTGAAGAATTTATAAATATCAAGTTTTGCGTGAAAAATTTCCTTTAAATTTATATTATCTGTGAAATTGAAAGTTGAAATTATTTAAAAATTAAAAATTATGAAAAATTTGCATTACTTCCTATTTTCTTTTTTTATTTTTTTTGTTTTCTTTCATTCTATTTTTTTTTCATATCCATTTTCTTTCTTTATCAAATATTTTTTATAAACTTTATATATTTAAAATAACATAAATGATTGGTTTTTTTTTTTTTTTTTATATATTTTATCACTATTTATTATTATTATTATTATTAATCATTACTACTATAATTTATTATTATTATATTATTATTATAAAATTATTGTTATTATTATAAATACCTGCATGATTTTTATCACTTATTGTTTATTTATTTGTTTTTTTTTTCTTTTTTTTGAAACTACTTCATAAAGTTGTGCATTTTGAAAAAAAAAAATAATAATAATAACAAATATTACATGCATCAGTAATTAACTAGCCTAAAATTATATTAGCAATGAGCGATGAAATAAATATTATACCCTTATTATTGGGAATTGGAAAATATTTACTCATAATTTTACAGAATAGCAAAAATAGGTCATTTGAAATGGTCATTGATGCTAAATTATTGGTCATTAAAGGATTAACAATAATGGTACTTTTCGATGAAATAAAGCGCATTAATTCACAATTTATAATTTCATAAAAACTAATTTTTTTCGTTTCTTTACTTTAAAAGAAAAGATGGATAATTTCCTTTTTTTTTTTTTTTTTTAAAGACAAACTATTATGATAGAATAAAAATTCTAAATTAAAAAGATTTCAATTTAATAAATAAATGTTAAAAATTTTTTCAAAATTTTTTTTTCTGGTCAGCAAATGAGCTAATAATTAATCATTTGATAATTAATCACTTCAATACTTACTTGGCTAAAAATGAAACACAAATAGATTCGAATAGATTTATGTATTCATTTTAATTATTATGATTAATACATATAATTAATTATTTTATTTAATTATACTATTTTTTCATTCTTTTTTATCTTTTATTTTTTAGTTATAGAACGATTTTTTTTTTTTGTGCTTCTTATTGAACAAATAATTTTATGAAACTAATTAAGCAATTTATGGTTTCAATGATTTACCAATGATAGAAAATCAATTCTTCTTTTTTTTTCTACGAAATAAAAAAAATTGAAAATTCATCTCAACAAACAAGCAAAAAAAAAAAAAAATTATTATTATTAAAGATAAATGATTGGTTCGATTAAAATTCTTTCTAAACTTTATATCTATAATTAATTTTATTCATTTTTTTTTTTTAAAATAGATGATGAAACTCCTCCAATTATATGATAAATTTAAATAACAACAAATAAATTTGTTCAAATTATAACATTCAAAAAGTTCATTGTTATAAATGTCCTCGAAATATATCACTAGCATTTTAATTAATAGCTGAAAATAATGTTTTATTTTTTTTTTTCAAACAAAAAAATAAATAAATATCCATTCTATTGCAAAATGCAATCTCATTGTTTTTTTTCTCTCTCTCTCTCTCTCTCTCTCTTCATCATTTTTTACCTCTCTTATAAAGAAGAATATTATAAGAGTGATAATTTTATTATGAAGAAATTACAAGTAATAATTCATTGAAATTGAAATTTTTTCATTCAAATATAATCATTCATTTTATTAATTCAAACAAAATTTCTTTTTTAATGATTAAACTTTTAATGCTATTAAAAAAAAGAGAAGAAAAAATATCAAAAATATAAACAGTTAACTTAATAATATCAATAATAATAATAATAATAATAATAATAATAATAATAATAATAAATAATAATAATAATAATAATATCAATAATAATAATAATAATAATAATAATAATAATAATAATAATAATAATAATAATAATAATAATAATAATAATAATAATAATAATAATAATAATAATAATAATAATAATAATAATAATAATAAACAAATCAGTATTAGAATAATCTTTTTTTTTTTATTCTTTCGCTTTTTCATTCGTTTTCCTTATTTATTCTAAATTATTTAATAATTAATGAAATTATTTAATAACGAACTAACATTGGTGAGATTTGTTCGTGTGAAAAATGTTGCAATCCAACGCGATTTTCTTAATAAATTACACAAAAAATTTTGTCGTAAGGTTGTTTTTCGTTCCAAATTATATTTTTCAAATTCTTCCGAACCATTTAAACAATTCGAACTTTGTTTATTACCCATATTTTGATAGAATCAAATTGCAGCTGATAGAGGGGAGATGGACAAAATAAAAAACAAAGGTACTAACTCTTACTAAAAGAGGCAGTACTTTTGTCTGTATATGTATGTGTATGTGTGTATGTCTGTATGTGTGTGTGTATGTGTGTGTGTGTGTATTTATGTCTGTGAGTGTGAATGTTGAATTTGTGAAGGAAATGAATTTGTGGAAAATTTTTTGTAGAAAGCCTCAAAGAAGAATAATAAATAGAAATTTAGCAGCAATAGAAATTAGTAAAATTCAATTAGTAGCAAAATTAATCAGAAAAAAAAAATAATAATTCATCTTTTTTTGCAGCAGCGGGAATGCATAATCCATTCAAATCTGAAATAAACAATTCATTTTGTCTTTTTTTTTTCTCCTTCAAATATTAAAATGAATGATCAAATAGATATTAATACGATATAATAATAAATGTATATACTAATAATAAAGAATTAAAAATGATTAAATTAAATTAATTATAAGAACAATTGAATAATTTGAACAATAGCATAAACAATATATACTAAAAATCAAAAATGATTAAATGAAATTAATAATTATTGAATAACTTAAATTGAATAATTGAAATATAATTGAATAATAGCATATATTTGTTGTTTTGAAAATCGACGAAACAATTGAGAGATGATTGAGGTTGGCTAATTTTAAAGTTTGTTTGCTCTAATGTTTTTTTTCTTTTCTTCTTTTTTTTTTTCGTTTTGTTTTGTTCAACCGGAAGTGATAAGAATGATAATAACGTCAACAATAATATTAATAGCATTGTTATTATTATTATTAATAATAGTAGTTGAGGTAGTAGCAGTAGTAGTAGTAGTGGCAGTGGTAGTGGTAGTAGTAGTAGTAGGATTAATGACCATTGGCAATTGAACAACAGGTTCAAAAGGAATTGTGCTGGCAGGTGGTCTAATGAATAATAATATCACCGTTGTCAGTGGAGTGTGTTGATGATGAGTAATGATAAGTGATGTGATGGTGTGATATATGGGAGGAGAGTGCTGCAACTATTGCTGATGGTTTTAGTGCGAATGCTTGCATTAGCAGAACTTTGTCTCTCATCAATACACTCTAATACAGAGGTATCGATGGTTACCGGATGAAATATCATTCTTCAGGTTGGGCGTGTGACGGGTTGTCGTGCACGTCACATACACGCACGCACACATACACACACACATACGTACATGCACACACGCGGATGCGCAGATGCGTACACATACACGTGCGTGTGCTTACATATATGTACACATACGTGCATCACATGCACACATACACACGTGTACATACACACATGCACATACAGACATACAAATACACACACACACACACATACATATATACAGACACATTTACACAACCACACATACACAAATATATGTACACACATACACACACACATACACACACACACACACACATACACACACATACACACACGGACACACATACACACACACAGACACAGACATACACATACACACGCATACACACACACACATACACACACACACATACACAGCCACATACACACACACACACACACACACACACACATACACACACATACACACACGGACACACATACACACACATACACACACACACACACACACATACACACACACACACATACATACACACACACACACACATACATACACATACACACATCTGCAGTATTCTTCTTTGGTTTTTTGATTGAAACGGTTGAAAAATGGGAAAACGTAAGAGAGAAGGTGTTCATTTTTTTATTTGAATTTACAATCTGAAGAAGGTAAACTATCGAATGAAATAAAGTAAATATGAACTTGGGTAAGTTATTTGAGAGAAAAGGGGAATGAGTTAAAGAGTTCGGATATGAAAGAGAGTAGAGATAAAAAGGAAAGAAGACAAGAGGGAAGAATCTATTTGCAGAAATAATTTTAGAAAAAATTGTCCAAATAATTTTAAACTACTTTCTAAAGTAACTTTTTTTATACATATATATAAGTATATTTTTTTTTCCTAAAAATAATAAATTCACTTAGGTGAATTTTTAATGAAGAAAAAAAATTGATAGTAAAAATTTGGAAATTATTTAAAAATTTTTTTAGAAAAAATTTTTTAAAAAAATTGTGAAAATATATGCTAATTTAAATATTACTTTATAAAACAAAATTGAAAAAGCAATAAAAAAGAAAAAAATTTTTTTTTCGAAAGGATAAAATTAAAATTTGTTATGGTGAAAAATAAAAGTTAAGCAATGACATAAGAACTATCATTTTTCTTTTGTTTTTTTTTTTTCCTGTTGCTATTTATTTGGAAAAAATATGTATCTCTATAGCTTTTCTTTCTCTTTTATTATTGTTATTATTGATTATTTTATTAATATTATTATTATTATTAATTAGTTTATTATTATTATTATTATTACTATTAATATTATTATTATTGATACTCAAATATGTTTTTAATTGAAACTTTTTTTTCATTTCTTTTTTTTTTTTTTTTTTTTTTTGAAAGTTCTCAGACAACTGACAGAGAGTAATCGGAATAAACCGGAAATATACAAAAATTTTTGACATATTACCAAATGGTTAATCCATTTATTATAATTGACAACTTCTTCGCTGACAATATAATGTATTAGTTAAAGTAATAAAAACATATAATTAGTCAATTAATATTAGTCAAAGAACTTAAAGTAAATAAGTAATTGATGAATTAATTATTTTTAAAAAAAAAAAAAAAAACCTAAAATACCTTGAAATTGTAATATACAAAAAAAGAAAAAAAAGGGAAAAGAATCATTAAAAAAAGAAAAAAATGAAATAAAATAAACGTAAAATGAATCTTTAAATTCTAAATATTAATAAATGCGTGCATGTTTTCAATGGAAATTTTAATGATAATATGTTAAATTTTAAATTTGTTAAATTTATACTCTATTAAATTCATAGAACAGTTGTTTAATACTTTTAGAGGAAGATAGTTTGCTAGTTAAACGATGAAATGGGAGAAGTTGTAAGGATTGAGAAGAGTGAAATTGTTGAAAATAAGCAATGATGTATTAAATTGTGAATTATTTCATACTTCATATGAAATATATATTGTATGAAATTCTCAAATTACATTCATATTGTAATATTTCTTAATTTATTTAAATATCACTTTCGAAAATTTTATCATTTTTTGATACAAAAATTTATTTATTTATTACAAATTTTATATTAAATTCACATTTTATATTGAAATTTGATTACAAATTACAAAGTTTTTATAATATTAAATAATATTTGATTTATTTTTCTTTTCCTTTTCCAAGGTTTCAATTTAATATTGAAAGAAATATAAATAAAAATGATTGATAAAATTAAGAAATGTATGATAAAAGTTTGATATTCTTGATTTTTTGAATGATTAAAAATATTATCATTTACTATTCTAAAATTCTTTTCCATTTTCATTAATTTTTCTTTTTTCTTTTTTGATGGTTGTTATTTTGGCATTTCTGATTAATATTATATGAAATTAGTTTGATTAGTGTTTTATGTAAATTATTAATTATTCATATTAGTAAGAGAGAATTATTTTGTAAAAACTTGATCGATGGTTGATAATGTTGATAACAAATTTGATTATTATTATTATTATTATTATTATTATTATTATTATTATTATTATTATTATTATTATTACTGTGAAATAAATGATTTATTATTTGTTCTTGATAAACAACTGATAACTAATAAACATAATTTTGCGATTCGTATCACTGCAAAACAGTTTCAATTTCTAATTAGCGACCAATTAATTTTTTTTTTCATTTATTGCATGAATTTAATTAATAAAATTAATTGGTTACTAATTAGAAGTCGAAATTGTTTTGTACTTGATTAAATTAAATTCTTTACAAATGCAATACAATAAGTAATCTTAGGCGACTTATCATTTCTTATACACTCCTTTTTTTATTTTCAATTTAATTAAAATTAGGAGCAATTTTCAGATTACTTTTCACAAAATAACAAAAAAAAAAAAATCTTTCTTTCATTAATATTCATGCAGTAAAGGAGACTATTTTTCTTTATAATTTTTAAATTTAAAAAAAAAATTACTCAAATAAATTTGAAAAAAAAAAAAAAAAAAAAAAAGAAAATTTAATTATGGGAGAAAATTACAAAAATAAGAAAGTTTAAACAAAACAATACTTTTAATAATCTAATAAAATTGCTAATAAACTTTTGCCAACTTTTTTCTTTTCTTTTTCTCTTTTTTTTTTTGGATAGCATTGAGAAGTGAAAATTTTGATGGAAATAAAATGATTTATTTGTTCTTTGATTTTTCATTTATTAAGTGAAACGACTTATGATTTCATTTTAAAGTTTGTGTAGCATATATGTGTATGTGTATGTATGTGTATGTTTGTATGTATGTATGTGTGTGTATGTGTGTATGTGTGTATGTGTGTAAATTTGCATTTAAATTTTAATTTATATAAGCAATGAAACTTGAATATGATAATAATCATTACGATAATTAGACGTTTAAATTGTAAGGATATTAAGATGACAGCAAAGTGAAGCGAGAAATTATGTCATACGAGTGGTTTGCTGTAATAAAATACCAAAGAACATTTTAATTAAATGATGAAACTTTTTTCTCTCTCTCTCCCTCTCTCCCTCTCTCTCTCTCTCTCTCTCCCTCTCTCCCTCTCTCTCTCTCTCTCTCTCTTTGAAATATCATAAATATTATCACATGTTGTGTAATCGACCAATACACACAAACATATATTTGAAAATGTGAAAATTAAAAGTGAAAATGAAACGAATGAATAGATATAATAAAAAGTTAAATTTTGATTTTATTAAATTTTTTTTTTTTTCAAATAAAAACAAAAAATAATAAAAAGATTTTTCATCGTTGAATTGCAATTGTAAGAATAAAAATTATAATTGTTAAAAATTTTTGGCAATGAAAT